CCTAAGATCTCATCCCCTCCCTTGACACACTTGGTGATCTCAAGTGTCGAGGGGGACAACAGAGCGGCCCATTGTCCTAAACGTCCTTGTAGGGCCGTGGATCTGAAGAGCCACGCCAATGTTGAGTGTCGGGTTAACACACGGATCGGACGTCCGACCAACCAACGCATTATAGTTAAGATCCAGGATCCTCAGAAGAGCTAATACCTCCTTCTCCGCGATGCCATAGTTTAGCTCATTCGACTTCAGAGTACGGCTTGCAAACATCACGGGGTAATAGATCTGGTCGTATTCTTGCATCAATGATCCCGAGATGGCCCAATCGCTCGCATACACCACAACTGTGGCCTTCCGATCAGGGTCAAAGTGTCGTAAGATCGGAGTTGTAGCGATCCTGGTTTTTAGCACATTGAAGGACCGACGGGCATGGATCCAACGCGGATCTACCTCAGTAGGGTCGGGCGCCTCCAGATCCAAGGTCCTTCGGTGGTCGACACCCCGATCTTCCTGTGATCCTTGATCTACGTTCTCCACTTCCAGTACTTGTTGAATCCGCGCTTGGGTAGCCTCCTTCATCATCGCAACAAAGTCGATTTCTCGCAATTCGTACAGAACCGACGCGTAGATCGCGTAGCCTTCAATAAATCGGCTATAATAGTTCAGACTCCCCAGAAATGATTGCATAGCTCTGAGTGATCCTGGGAAGGCTAGATCAGTTAATGCAGACAGATCTTTCGGATTTGCCTCCAGACCATTATGTGAGACTTATTGTGCGAGACCCTATGCCCGAGATATTCCACCTTAGGCATTACCCAGAAGCTCTTAACCACACTGATCGACAAATTCCACTTATCACACGCTTCGAGTAAACCTTCGACTCGGTCACACAGTTGATCCCAGATATTGGCCGGAATCATAATATCGTCGATATATGATCTACGCCCAAACACCGATGGCTTGCCTGGATCCACCGGTTCCCCGTCCTCAAACACATCCAAAGTACTGTCGTGATCTTCAGACTCCGGGGCCCGGGTGAACCCATATAGCGCATTGTCGATCATACGTTGATAGATCTGGGGCGCATTCTTCAAGCCAAAAGGCATTCGATTCCATTCAAATAACTTCCATTCAAATAACCCAAATGGCTTGATAAAAGCCGAGATCAGACGAGAGCGATCCGTCATTTTCACTACTCAAAATCCAATCTCCATATCCAAAGGACAGAACAAAAATGTCGACTCTAGATCTTCCAGTAAGTCGTTGATCAAGGGCATTGGGTAGATCATCAGCTGCGTTAGGGTATTAACCAGCCGATAATCAATGCATAGCCTGATATCCACTCCATTCTTCTTGATGATCACCACGATCGGGGAGGCCCATGGTGATCTAGAGTAATTGATCATCTTGGCAGACAATAGACCCTTGATCAAGTCCGCCAACTTCTCCCTGAACTGGATCCGCAACTTACGGCACTTGAGGGCGATAGGTCTCGCTCCCCCGACATCGATATCGCACACCACACCTCTGGGCGCCGGCGGAAGAGTATTTCCCTTGCCGATCAAGAGATGTCGGAACTTCCAGATCTTTTGGCGAAGTCGATCAATCTCTTCTGGAGTCTGATTATCAGATCCGCATCGTTGAATGTCTTCGATCCTCACATCTTTCGTCGCCACAGGCACTTCCGGCAGTACCGCCATCTGACCATCGACGTCTTCGG